CATAAAATATGTACCTGCCTAGCGGTGTAGAGGTATCAGTTCTGTAGTTAGTGTACCATAACGCCTCAATCAAAGGTCTCATCTAGAATGAGAAAACCTGAAGGCTAAATCCACAATTTCACTTTTACCTGTGCTGTATTCTCAGTTTGTTCAAATTTTATTTATAGTTTGTTCTATTCATCAATGTTATCTCTGCCGAGCTGAATATGACTTTAGTTGACCGTCATCAGTGTAGGTACCCCGAACATATGAAATGCCTTTTAACATTGAAATCTTTAGGATCCTGTTGGCAGATATAAATTGATGCTAAAATGTGTGTACTGTAGGTGAGTGGGTACCTGTATTTGTAATGGATGTTTAAAAGCATGAAAAGAAATGTTTCCCATAATAAAAAACTAGATTACACTCTGATTTGAACCTGGAAAGTGTTATCTTTCTGCTGTTATTTGACAGAAGCAAGTGTCAGTGGAGCTGTCGGTGTCAATTATTATAAGAACTAAGGAATATTTACTGACTTTGACACTGCTGAGTGAGTGAGTGAGTGGCTTATCAGGGGAACGAGAAAGAACTTGTCCATTTTCATTGTCAGGCCAGTGAAGTTTACAGTTATACTTTCTCTACCTAATTTTACGAAAGCTTACCTAATTTTACAAAAGCCTGTTACTACATAGATTGGGAAAGTATAACAAAGTTTTGGTTGACATTAGGAAGATATTCCTTGGGAAATGAAGCACCTTTTCTGCCTGGGGAAAAAGTGGGTACAAAGTCAATGTGGCTTTAAACCTACCTGATATACATCATCTTCTTTTCCCTTCAAGACATTGTGATAGACTCCAGATAGTGAGTGAGCACCTTCCAATCTGGTTCAGGCTGCTGTCTAAACTGGTATGCGTCGCTCCTCATCCAAGAGGGTTTTCTTCTGCATCAAACAGTCTAATGATAAAGTCAGAAGATTCAGCACAAAAGCGAATAAAAGAAAATTCAGCCATTTTTCTGAAGGGGCAGCAAAAGAAAAAACAGGATGAATAAATTGAGTAGACTACACATGAATGTATTCATTTGTCATTATCTGTGGTTATTTCTGACTAATCAATGCAAATATATTCCGCAATATAACTTTTGAGTTGATCTGGTAGTCGGTCATGAATGTCTGGGGTTGTTTACAGAATGTGTGTTGGCACTAGGACCATATAACTCCAGGGTTTATATTCACTTCTGTTCTCTGCATCCCAGTAGTATATATTGTATGTCATGACAAAATTGAAGGTTCTGTATGAGTAAACCAATAAAAGCAAGTGTGTAGTAATATTTTAACAGTGCTTTTATTGAATCATGCAAACATTTTTAGTTGGTACTGTTATCTAGTGGCACTGCAACACAAATGTAATACTAATTTCTAATGTAAAAAAATGAGGGTGAAAATTCAGGACAGTCTACCTGCAGAATAAGTGGATTTGTCAAGTATTTACTACGACTCTAGTTAGTGTGTTCCTGTATCCTTCTATTGTTGTCCTGTACCTACATTATTGTAATCGCTGATATTAAAGTCCTTCATATTAAACGTTATATTGGGTTTTATATTAGCAGTATTATTGATACAACCTCAGACTGTACTGTTCACAAATTATTGTGTTAAAAAATTATGGTAGAAATTTCCAGAAATGTAACATTTAGCTAAATGTCGCCTAACAAGAGTTTCCTTTGGGACATGTGACAGAGGCAGAAATCAATATCACATGCTGATGAGGACATGACTCAAAGTGGTCCCCTGTGGGCTGTAACAGGTGGCAGCCATACCAGGCTGTTACAGTCTGTAGCTAGCTGTAGGCACACAAACAATTTGTCACTTACTAGAGAAATTTTCCTCAATTAATTGCCACTCTGGTTGTATCCTCAAACATACATGACCATATCATGACTGTGAATATGAATATTGGTTGCTGCAATGTATGCACACAATATTTATTTAAACTTTGTATAAAATGTGAGATCTTTATTAATGCTTCCAGGTTAAACAATTGTATACCTGCTAAACTTTATGTACACTTGTAGAAGTTGTTTTTATATTTAACACACAACTAAATCTTTTTTTGACAGATTAATAAAGTCTGATTTATACCATTAAAATTCTGACAAAGAACTTTTATTGCAAACAAATATACAAAGCATAATAATATTATGTATTACTTTTTGTCATATAAACATCATAGTATATACACAGTCTGTGGGTTATATAAGTATATACTGAAAGCTATGTTCACTGTCTGTGTGTTGTATACACTATCTGTGTGTTGTATACACTGTCTGTGTGTTGTATACACTGTCTGTGTGTTGTATATACTGTCTATGTGTTGTATACACTGTCTGTGTGTTGTATACACTGTCTGTGTGTTGTATATACTGTCTTTGTGTTTTATACACTGTCTGTGTGTTGTATATACTGTCTGTGTGGTGTATACACTGTTTGTGTGTTGTATACACTGTCTGTGTGTTGTATACACTGCCTATGTGTTGTATACACTGCCTATGTGTTGTATACACTGTCTGTGTGTTGTATACACTGTCTGTGTGTTGTATACACTGTCTGTGTGTTGTATATACTGTCTGTGTGTTGTATATACTGTCTGTGTGTTGTATATACTGTCTTTGTGTTGTATATACTGTCTGTGTGTTGTATACAATGTCTTTGTGTTGTATACACTGTTTGTGTGTTTTATACACTGTCTGTGTGTTGTATATACTGTCTTTGTGGTGTATACACTGTCTGTGTGTTTTATACACTGTCTGTGTGTTGTATATACTGTCTGTGTGGTGTATACACTGTTTGTGTGTTTTATACACAGTCTGTGTGTTGTATACACTGTCTGTGTGTTGTATATACTGTCTTGTGTTTTATACACTGTTTGTGTGTTGTATATACTGTCTGTGTGTTGTATACACTGTCTGTGTGTTGTATATACTGTCTTTGTGTTTTATACACTGTTTGTGTGTTGTATATACTGTCTGTGTGTTGTATACACTGTCTGTGTGTTGTATATACTGTTTTTGTGTTTTATACACTGTTTGTGTGTTGTATATACTGTCTGTGTGTTGTATATACTGTCTTTGTGTTTTATACACTGTCTGTGTGTTGTATATACTGTCTGTGTGTTGTATACACTGTCTGTGTGTTGTATATACTGTCTTTGTGTTTTATACACTGTTTGTGTGTTTTATACACTGTCTGTGTGGTGTATACACTGTTTGGGTGTTTTATACACTGTCTGTGTGTTGTATACACTGTCTGTGTGTTGTATATACTGTCTTTGTGTTTTATACACTGTCTGTGTGTTGTATATACTGTCTGTGTGGTGTATACACTGTCTGTGTGTTGTATATACTGTCTTTGTGTTTTATACACTGTCTGTGTGTTGTATATACTGTCTGTGTGTTGTATACACTGTCTGTGTGTTGTATATACTGTCTTTGTGTTTTATACACTGTTTGTGTGTTGTATACACTGTCTGTGTGTTGTATATACTGTCTTTGTGTTTTATACACTGTCTGTGTGTTGTATATACTGTCTGTGTGGTGTTTACACTGTTTGTATGTTTTATACACTGTCTGTGTGGTAATACTGTGTATGTGGTATATACACAAAATGTTATCTATACTTTCTGGGATATATATACCATCTGTGTGGTATATACACAAACTGTTATATATACGGTCTGTGTTGTAAACACTGTCTGTGTGTTGTATATATATACTGTCTTTGTGTTGTATATATACTGTCTGTGTGGTGTATACACTGTTTGTGTGTTTCATACACTGTCTGTGTCGTAATACTGTGTATGTGGTATATACACAAAATGTTATATATACTGTCTGTGTGGTATATACACTGTTTCTGTGGTATATACACTGTTTGTGTGTTGTATATACTGTATTTGTGTTTTATACACTGTCTGTGTGTTGTATATACTGTCTGTGTGGTGTATCCACTGTTTGTGTGTTTCATACACTGTCTGTGTCGTAATACTGTGTATGTGGTATATACACAAAATGTTATCTATACTTTCCAGGTTATATATACCATCTGTGTGGTATACACAAAATATATATACTGTCTGTGTGGTATATACACTGTCTTTGTGGTATATACACTGTCTGTGTGTATGTACATACAATTTTATATATACCGTCTGTGTGTGATATACACTGTCTGTGTTATATACTATCTGTGTGGTATGTACACAAACTGTTATATATACTGTCTGTGTGGTATATACACTGTCTGTGTGGTATATACACTGTCTTTGTGGTATTATACACTGTCTTTGTGGTATATACACTGTCTGTGTTATATACTATCTGTGTGGTATGTACACAAAATGTTATATATACTGTCTGTGTGTTATATTCACTGTCTTGTGCTATATATATAGTCTGTTTCTCGGGCCTGTAACTGAAGGGTTGCGGGTTTGAGTTGCAGCACGGTACTATGTTGTATCTTTGAGCAAGATACTTTAGTCCGCTTGTTCCAGTCTACTCAGCTGTAAATGAGTACGTGGTTGGGCAGTGCTAGAATTGTTGAATGCTAGCTGTGAGCGATGAAATGGCAGCACCGGCTGTATGCTCCCCAGGGAGTTGAGAAAGATATTGGCTGGTTGCAAAGGCCATATAACCACAGATAATCATTTGTGAACCGATTTGAGACAACCTACGAACTAGGTTATGATCAAGTGGTATATAACAACCTCAAATTATTATTATTATTAATTTCTGTGATGTATACACAAAATGTTATATATACTGTCTGTGTGGTATATACACAAAATGTTATATTGACTGTCTGTGTGTTATATTATTATATACATGTAAACTATGTGGTAAATATACAAAAGGTTATATATATATAACTGTGTGTTATACACACTGTGTGGTACATGAATCTAAACAAAATGTCATATATTATACAAACTGTGTCCATTACTTAATGTAAGGTTTGCTTATTTCAGTGCCATGTCGACCGGAACAGGTACACATTGCTTATGGTGACACAACCTCGGAGGTGGTGGTTATGTGGGCGACACAAGAAGAGTGCACCACATCAGTCGGATACGGTACTGACCCTTGGGGCCTGACCAACACTGTCCCTGGTCAGATGTCACATTTTACAGACCTCAATAAACAGGGGCTACAGTGTCTACACAGGGTCAAACTGCAGGTAAAGCTACAATTATGATAATGTTATAATGTTACACTATGGTACATGTGCAATCAATATCATAACATAACAAAAACAGTAAGGTTATACAGGTAAACTACCTCATACTGTAGGCATGTCAGATTATACAGGTAACTACCTCACACTGTAGGTAAGTCAGATTATACAGGTAACTACCTCACACTGTAGGCATGTCAGATTATACAGGTTACTAACTCACAATGTATACATATCAGATTATACAGGTAACTACCTCACTGTAGGTAAGTCGGATTATACAGGTAACTACCTCACACTGTAGACATGTCAACTAAGTAACTCACTTAGTAAATATGTCTAATTATACAGGTTACTACATGACACTGTAGGCATGTCTGATTATACAGTCAAGTAATTGATTCAAGACATCTCTGTTGTAACTATTTAGTAATAGAGGTGTATAGGGAAGGGAGATTATTTGATTAGTTACAGGGTTTGTAAGTTTGAATTATTGTATTTCAGGGGTTGACACCAGAAACAAACTACTTCTACCGGCCAATCAGTGAAGGCATTAGCAGTGGGCCATTTTACTTCAAGACTCCCCCTGGTGGCCAGGTGAGTTAGCAGACAAATATTCACAAATGAAAAAAAAAATCCTGGCTATTAACTTTGCAAGTAAAAATGAAAAAAGTTGCCATCAGAAAAATATAAAATATAAATATCAACAGCTGATATACCAGCAGTAACGAGGTAAAGCAATTCAAGGTAGAGAACAAATTTACAAATGGCCCATTTTAGTACGGGTAATATTGATATTTGGAGGTCAGTGAAGCCTTTGTTAAATAACAAAGTACAGTAGTACTTAAATCACCTCTGATACGATGACAGTACAATGTATTTGTTACTCACTGATATAGCATCGATGACTGATCATAGTGTTAATATCTATAAGATTAATAGAGACTTTTTTGTATTTTGTGTGTAGTCCTGGGAGCCGGAGTTCCTTGTGTATGGAGACCTGGGGGTTGAATCAGACAGTGTACCCTACCTTAACAATGAGGTTCTAGGGGGCAACTACACAGCTGTCCTACATGTGGGCGACTTTGGGTACAACCTGATGGACCAAGACGGACAGGTATGTACTCACAGAGGACCAGGGGTTGGAGGGGGTCTATAAAGGAGGGGGCTGAAGAAAGGGAAGGGGCACTAGGGGAGCTTCAGGGGATATGATTGGACAACAGAAGGTTACATGAGATAGGGAGGGACAAGAGGATGGTATTGGGGATAAAATAGAACAAAGATGAGGGTGCCAGGAGGAGTGAGGGACAACAAATAAGGGTGCTGCATGGATATAAGATAAGACAATAGAAGATGGTGTCGGGTATAGTGAGGGACAACAGGGGAGGGAGCTGAGGATAGAAGGTGAAAAAAGGTAAGGTTATTAAGGGTATAGTTAGTGACAATAGGTTAGGTTGTTAGGTATAGCTAGGGGCAATAGGGAAGGGGGCTGGGGATAGTTAGTGACAATAGGTTAGGCTGTTAGGTATAGCTAGGGGCAATAGGGGAGGGGGCTTGGGATATATAGTGGCAATAGGTTAGGTTGTTAGGTATAGCTAGGGGCAATAGGGGAGGGGGCTGGGGATAGTTAGTGACAATATGTTAGGTTGTTAGGTATAGCTAGGGGCAATAGGGGAGGGGGCTGGGGATAGTTAGTGACAATAGGTTAGGTTGTTAGGTATAGCTAGGGGCAATAGGGGAGGGGGCTGGGGATAGTTAGTGACAATAGGTTAGGTAGTTAGGTATAGTTAGGGGCATTAGGGGAGGGGCTTGGGATAGATAGTGACAATAGGTAAGGTTGTTAGGTATAGCTAGGGGCAATATGGGAGGGGGCTGGGGATATATAGTGACAATAGTTTAGGTTGTTAGATATAGTTAGGGGCATTAGGGGAGGGGCTTGGGATAGATAGTGACAATAGGTTAGGTTGTTAGGTATAGCTAGGGGCCATATGGAAGAGGGCTGGGGATATAAAGTGTCAATAGGTTAGGTTGTTAGGTATAGCTAGGGGCCATATGGAAGAGGGCTGGGGATATAAAGTGTCAATAGGTTAGGTTGTTAGGTATAGCTAGGGGCAATATGGGAGGGGGCTTGGGATATATAGTGACAATAGTTTAGGTTGTTAGATATAGTTAGGGGCATTAGGGGAGGGGCTTGGGATAGATAGGGACAATAGGTTAGGTTGTTAGGTATAGTTAGGAGCATTAGGGGAAGGGGCTTGGAATAGATAGTGACAATAGGTTAGGTTGTTAGGTATAGCTAGGGGCCATATGGAAGAGGGCTGGGGATATAAAGTGACAATAGGTTAGGTTGTTAGGTATAGCTAGGGGCATTAGGGGAGGGGGCTTGGGATAGATAGTGGCAATAGGTTAGGTTGTTAGGTACAGTTAGGGGCATTAGGGGAGGGTGCTGGGGATATATAGTGACAATAGGTGAGGTTGTTAGGTATAGCTAGGGGCCATATGGAAGGGGGCTGGGGATATAAAGTGACAATAGGTTAGGTTGTGAGGTATAGCTAGGGGCCATAGGGAAGAGGGCTGGGGATATAAATTGACCATAGGTTAGGTTGTTAGGTATAGTTAGGGGCATTAGGGGAGGGGCTGGGGATAGATAGTGACAATAGGTTAGGTTGTTAGGTATAGCTAGGGGTCATATGGAAGAGGGGGCGGGGGACAGTTAGTGACAATAGGTTAGGTTATTAGGTATAGCTAGGGGTCATATGGAAGAGGGGGGCGGGGGACAGTTAGTGACAATAGGTTAGGTTGTTAGGTATAGCTTGGGGCCATATGGAAGAGGACTGGGGATATAAAGTGACAATTGGTTAGGTTGTTAGGTATAGCTAGGGGCATTAGGGGAGGGGGCTGGGGATATATAGTGACAATAGTTTAGGTTGTTAGGTATAGTTAGGGGCAATAGGGGAGGGGGCTGGGGATAGTTAGTGACAATAGGTTAGGTTATTAGGTATAGCTAGGGGTCATATGGAAGAGGGGGCGGGGGACAGTTAGTGACAATAGGTTAGGTTGGTAGGTATAGCTAGGGGCATTAAGGGAGGGGGCCGGGGATATATAGTGACAATAGTTTAGGTTTTTAGGTATAGATAGGGGCATTAGGGGAGGGGCTTGGGATAGATTGTGACAATAGGTTAGGTTGTTAGGTATAGTTAGGAGCATTAGGGGAAGGGGCTTGGGATAGATAGTGACAATAAGTTAGGTTGTTAGGTATAGCTAGGGGTCATATGGAAGAGGGGGGCGGGGGAAAGTTAGAGACAATAGGTTAGGTTGTTAGGTATAGCTAGGGGTCATATGGAAGAGGGGGGCGGGGGAAAGTTAGAGACAATAGGTTAGGTTGTTAGGTATAGCTAGGGGCCATATAGAAGAGGGTGCTTGGGATAGATATTGACAATAGGTTAGGATGTTAGGTATAGCTAGGGGCCATATAGAAGAGGGGGCTTGGGATAGATATTGACAATAGGTTAGGTTGTTAGGTATAGCAAGGGGCCATATAGAAGAGGGGGCGGGGGACAGTTAGTGACAATAGGTTAGGTTGGTAGGTATAGCTAGGGGCATTAGGGGAGGGGGCCGGGGATATATAGTGACAATAGTTTAGGTTGTTAGGTATAGTTAGGGGCAATAGGGGAGAGGGCTGGGGATAGTTAGTGACAATAGGTTAGGTTGTTAGGTATAGTTAGGGGCAATAGGGGAGGGGGCTTGGGATATATAGTGACAATAGGTTAGGTAGTTAGGTATAGTTAGGGGCATTAGGGGAGGGGGCTGGGGATAGTTAGTGACAATAGGTTAGGTTGTTAGGTATAGTTAGGGGCATTAGGGGAGGGGGCCGGGGATATATAGTGACAATAGTTTAGGTTGTTAGGTATAGTTAGGGGGAAGAGGGGAGGGGGCTGGGGATATTTAGTGACAATAGGTTAGGCTGTTAGGTATAGGTAGGGGCAATAGGGGAAGGGGCTGGGGATATATAGTGACAATAGGTTAGGTTGTTAGGTATAGTTAGGGGCCATATAGAAGAGGGCTGGGGATATATAGTGACAATAGGTTAGGTTGTTAAGTATAGTTAGGGGCCATATGGAAGGGGGCTTGGTATAATGCCAGGTATTGGGTGGGGCAAAAGACAAGGGTGTCAGGTATATGGTATTGATATAAAACATCAGCCATCACTGTCCTAAAACAAGTTATCATGTCAATTACACTTCACTCTTTACACACGTCTCCAATAATTATGTTATTGTCACTGGTGTATGGAAATGCATGAAGATAACTAATTCCAGTCCACTCAAATGTAGATCTGATCCTATCAGCATTGTCACTAACTTTTCATTTTCCTAATCATCCATTCTGCTTGTCAAGGTTTGAAAACCTTGTTCCTGTAAGCAGGGTTACCTAACAATGTATGTGACATCCAGGTACTGGCTTGTTGAATATTAATGGTGAAACTCACACCCAATTGAATCATGATTTTGTGATCAAGTAGTGGCAATTAATGTCTATTAAACTTGAAGGCACAAAAGTTACCTTGATGAGCACTTTTGAAACTGCTACACATTTCCATTACTTTGTGTAATTTTGTGATGTACATTGCAATTAACTTTATTATGCGTGAGCAGGAGGTATAAACATAATTTTTCCTGACAACTTTATACAGTTCTAACTTCTGCCAGGACCAAAACTTCCTCCCAGATACTGTTAAAACCCATTCTTTACGATAGTGAAGTAACTTTTTTTTTTTAATGGAACAGTTTCCTGCAAAAAGGTTTTGTCACAATGTCTTAACATCCTGATAGCTCCGGTCCTGTGGTAATAATACCAGATTAAAGCTTTAATGTAAAAACTGTAATTCCTAGAATTGTTTAGTGGTCCCCCTGAGGTTACTAAGTAAGAGTGTATAATGCACAGTAACTCCGGTACTTATGACTTCTATCAAAGTGAGACTTTGTCCACATAACAAACATATGTTCAATGACTCTTGAAAGCACCCAACCTTATGGACATATTGCTTAACACTTAAAGAAGCACTTTCTGCGCATGCCCTTATATTATGAAGAGCTTTTACCTAAATCGGAGAAAGGCAAGTTTAATGAGAAATGTAGTATTGTGCTGTTTTCAGCAATGTGCAACAAATTAACCCATGATACTTATTCACAGTAAAAAAATCCTGCAATTTGTTTTAACAAATTATTAATGCTGCTAACCGAGTATTTACTTATTAATCACTAAACAGTCGGAGGCTTCCAACCTAACATGTTTCCCCAAGGTGAGTGGTTAACCTTTAACAGCCATTATCTACAGTATGTATATAAACCCCATATACACACAGGTGATGGTTTCTAGTTCTACAACATGACTATGAGTCCTGGCTTAAGTCACAGGTGACACAGGTGATGGTTTCTAGTTCTACTACATGACTATGAGTCCTGGCTTAAGTCACAGGTGATGGTTTCTAGTTTCACAACATAACTATGAGTCCTGGCTAATCACAGGTGATGGTTTCTAGTTTTACTACATGACTATGAGTCCTGGCTTAAGACACAGGTGATGGTTTCTAGTTTCACTACATAACTATGAGTCCTGGCTAATCGCAGGTGATGGTTTCTAGTTTCACTACATAACTATGAGTCCTGGCTAATCGCAGGTGATGGTTTCTAGTTTCACAACATAACTATGAGTCCTGGGTAATCACAGGTGATGGTTTCTAGCTTTACTAACTGACTATGAGTCCTGGCTAATCACCGGTGATGGTTTCTAGTTTTACTACTTGACTATGAGTCCTGGCTATAATCACAGGTGATGGTTTCTAGTTTTACTAACTGACTATGAGTCCTGGCTAATCACAGGTGATGGTTTCTAGATTTACTACATAACTATGAGTCCTGGCAAATTACAGGTTGTGGTTTCTAGATTTACTACATAACTATGAGTCCTGGCTAATTACAGGTTGTGGTTTGTAGTTTCACTACACAACTATGAGTCCTGGCTAATTACAGGTTGTGGTTTCTAGTTTCACTACAGAGCAAGCACAAATGATATAGATTTGGTGAATAATCATAGCTCATAGTTTACCTGGGTTGTGATCCAAGTTAACAATTAGTATTTGTGGTGGGTTATTGGAAAACTACTGGTACTATGATCTTTATGGTACACTATGATCTGTTTACCTATCTACTGTCATGTGGCAATAATATATCCGAGAAATGGTAGCGGACAAGAAATGTTCAGTTTTAAACAGTTCATTGTTCATTGCATCAGCTACGTACATTCAACCGTCCTCAGTTAAGTTCATTTACTTTACACTTTACTTTTACTTTTTACTTTAAGAGAACCTTACATATTAAACCAGAAGTTCATTGTTAATGGAAAAAAATAAAGATCAATTGAAGTCTATAGAACAGACAATTAAAATATTAAAATCAAAACTTGATTTTACCAAACCTGTATAATCTGGGATTGGATGTACACAGTGTTTATCAGTACATTGTGACACAAAGTAATAACTTAAGTAACAATGTACAGCCAAATTGTATATTTGCAAATTCTGATGTCTACAATACCCATATTTAACTGAAATGACATTTTGGGTTCTATGACATTTTATATTACTGTGAATTTTAAGTTGGATAAATATTGCAACCCCTGTTTATATTGCAGTTCATTATTTTGTGTTTCCAATGATTTTCCAATTTCCATTGACTGTTTACTCCTAGTTATGTGTGTTTTTATATGTTTCCTGTTATTGTTACAGGTGGGAGATCAGTTTATGAGGATTGTAGAGGACACAGCAGCCAGAATACCATATATGACTTCACCAGGAAACCATGGTAACCCTTTAGAAATATCTATTCTTTTTCAGTCACCTTCTATACACTGGGACAAAGAGGTGTGGTTTGCACTGTACCATATGGTCACAGTACTAGTTCCTATTTATTAACAAAATACAAATGTACATTAAATATAAAGCATTTACATTTAACTTAATAATAAAGAATTGAATGTACTAACTCATACCGGGTATTTCCTTGCCTCAGTGATAATCTAAATAACACCATTCTGATTTAGTGCTGTAGCAATCGTATGCAAACAGGATACAGTAATTTAACATAATTGAATGGTTATCAGAATTCAGCAAAAGTTCCTAAAACATTATTACTGCAAAAAAGTAAAGCATGATTAAAGCATTATATATTTTATTTGGGAAAAAAGTTTTATTTGATGTAGATCTAATGGGTCTAATGCACTGTTCACTATTACAGAGATAGATGGGGACACCTTCAGCCATTACAGACATAGATTTTCTATGCCTAACACTGACTGGCCTATCCCCCTGGACAGGATGTGGTACAGCATAGACATAGGACTGGTACACTTTGTCAGGTGAGTCTCATTAACAGGTACATTTTGTCAGGTAAGTCTCATTAACAGGTACACTTTGTCAGGTGAGTCTCATTATAAGGAACACTTTGTCAGATGAGTCTCATTGTCAGGTACACTTTGTCAGGTGAGTCTTATACACAGGTACACTTTGTCAGGTGAGTCTAACTGACAAGTACACTTCGTCAGGTGAGTCTCATTTGACAGGTACACTTTGTCAGGTGAATCTAACTGACAAGTACACTTTGTCAGGTGAGTCTCATTGACAGGTACACTTTGTCAGGTGAGTCTCATTGACAGGTAAAGAGGCGAGTCTCATTGACAGGTACATTTTATCAGGTGAGTCTCATTTTACAGGTACACTTTGTCAGGTGAGTCTCATTTGACACTTTGTCAGGTGAGTGTCGTTGACAGGTACACTTTGTCAGGTGAGTCTCATTTGACAGGTACACTTTGTCAGGTAACTATCATATACAGGTACACTTTGTCAGGTGAATGTCGTTGACATGTACACTTTGTCAGGTGAGTCTCATATACAGGCACACTTTGTCAAGTGAGTTTTATTGACAGGTACACTTCGTCAGGTGAGTCTCAGTGACAGATACACTTTGTCAGATGAGTCTCATATACAGGTACAAATAGTTTGGTGAGTCCCATTTAGTTTTACATGTGAATTTCATAGATTTGTTACACTTTGTCGCTTATAGACAGATATAGTTTATGATTCTCATAGACATGTTCATGTTTACTTGGCCAAGTGTCGTAGACAGGTATTTTTATTGAAGATCTGGTATGTTTCATTGATATGGAATCAAATAAATGAACATGTAAATTATTTTCATGTTTATAAACTTGATCATTGGCTGCTATCAAAACCCAACTGATTATGATGTTACAGTGTGTTACAGTGTGTTACAGTGTGTTGTAGTGCGTTACAGTGTGTTACAGTGCGTTACAGTGCGTTACAGTGCGTTACAGTGCGTTACAGTGCGTTACTGTCTGTTACAGTGCGTTACAGTACGTTACAGTGCGTTACAGTGTGTTACAGTGTGTTACAGTGCGTTACAGTGTGTTACATGCTAGCTGTGGGAACAGTAGCTTCTATGTCCGATGATTTTTTGTGTCTTTTTTTGTTTGTCCGATAACAATAAAAAAAAATGGGGGGGGGGGGAATTGGACATAGAAACTAGGGTTCCCGCAGCTAGGATGCTATCAACCAGCTTCCTAGTACTGTCAGCAAGCTACATACATGTACTTCAAACATTAAGACATAGAACTCTGAATTGCTCTAAAAGGTTACCATATATATCAAAAAATAAATGTAGTTGACCACATCTAAAGTTGTCATCAAAAGTTTGTGAAATGGTATGTTTTCTTAATTGTTAGAATACCTTCAATGTTTGACAATTTGTTACTTAACCATTATTATTTTCCAGCTACTCGTCCGAGGTATTCTTTACCCAGCAGGGAGTTCATGTGGACGCCCAGAGGAACTGGCTAATGGCTGACCTAAAACAGGCCAATGACAACCGTAACAACTGCCCATGGGTGATTGCCTATGGTCACCGCCCCATGTACTGTTCCAACACGGACGGAGATGACTGCACCCTGGGAGCATCAAAAGTTAGGGAAGGGTATGTAAAGATGAAGGAACTGTGAGGGAGATAGTCTGGGATGGAGATAGTCTGGGGCAAGAAAGTGTCAAGTCAAGAGGTGTTGTCATAGGTCTCTAGGTAGGTGTCAAGTTACAAGGTGTATTAACGGATCGCAGGGACTAGGGCTGTAGTCAGGAGTCAGAGCAGGGTAGATGTTGTTGAGTCAAGAGATGTACTCATGGGTCTCAAGGTAGGCGTCGAGTCAAGGATTGTTGTCACAAGTCAGAGCAGGGTAGATGTTGTTGCGCCCAGGGGTATAGTCATGGGTCAGAGCAGGGTAGATGTTGTTGCGTCGAGGGGTATAGTCATGAGTCTGAGCAGGGTAGATGTTGTTGCGTTGAGGGGTATAGTCATGGGTCAGAGCAGGGAAGATGTTGTTGCCCTTTACTGTATAGTATGTTGTTGCGTCGAGGGGTATAGTCATGCGCCCAGGGGTATAGTCATGGGTCAGAGCAGGGTAGATGTTGTTGCGTCGAGGGGTATAGTCATGAGTCTGAGCTCGGAAGATGTTGTTGCGTCGAGGGGTATAATCATGAGTCTGAGCAGGGTACATGTTCTTGCGCCTAGGGGTATAGTCATGGGTTAGAGCAGGGTAGATGTTGTTGTGTCGAGGGGTATAGTCATGAGTCTGAGCAGGGTAGATGTTGTTGCGTTGAGGGGTATAGTCATGAGTCTGAGCAGGGTAGATGTTGTTGCGTCGAGGGGTATAGTCATGAGTCTGAGCAGGGTAGATGTTGTTGCGTCGAGGGGTATAGTCATGAGTCTGAGCAGGGTAGATGTTGTTGCGTCGAGGGGTATAGTCATGAGTCTGAGCAGGGTAGATGTTGTTGCGTCGAGGGGTATAGTCATGAGTCTGAGCAGGGTAGATGTTGTTGCGTCGAGGGGTATAGTCATGAGTCTGAGCAGGGTAGATGTTGTTGCGTCGAGGGGTATAGTCATGAGTCTGAGCAGGGTAGATGTTGTTGCGTCGAGGGGTATAGTCATGAGTCTGAGCAGGGTAGATGTTGTTGCGTCGAGGGGTATAGTCATGAGTCTGAGCAGGGTAGATGTTGTTGCGTCGAGGGGTATAGTCATGAGTCTGAGCAGGGTAGATGTTGTTGCGTCGAGGGGTATAGTCATGAGTCTGAGCAGGGTAGATGTTGTTGCGTCGAGGGGTATAGTCATGAGTCTGAGCAGGGTAGATGTTGTTGCGTCGAGGGGTATAGTCATGAGTCTGAGCAGGGTAGATGTTGTTGCGTCGAGGGGTATAGTCATGAGTCTGAGCAGGGTAGATGTTGTTGCGTCGAGGGGTATAATCATGGGTTAGAGCAGGGTAGATGTTGTTGCGTTGAGGGGTATAGTCATGGGTCAGAGCAGGGTAGATGTTGTTGCCCCCAGGGGTATAGTCATGAGTCTGAGCAGGGTAGATGTTGTTGCGTTGAGGGGTATAGTCATGAGTCAGAGCAGGGTAGATGTTGTTGCCCCCAGGGGTATAGTCATGAGGCTGAGCAGGGTAGATGTTGTTGCGTCGAGGGGTATAGGCATGAGTCTGAGCAGGGTAGATGTTGTTGCGTCGAGGGGTATAGGCATGAGTCTGAGCAGGGTAGATGTTGTTGCGTTGAGGGGTATAGTCATGGGACAGAGCAGGGTAGATGTTGTTGCCCCCAGGGGTATAGTCATGAGTCTGAGCAGGGGAGATGTTGTTGCGTCGAGGGGTATAGTCATGAGGCTGAGCAGGGTAGATGTTGTTGCGCCCAGGGGTATAGCCATGAGTCTGAGCAGGGTAGATGTTGTTGCGTCGAGGGGTATAGGCATGAGTCTGAGCAGGGTAGATGTTGTTGCGTGGAGGGGTATAGTCATGAGTCTGAGCAGGGGAGATGTTGTTGCGTCGAGGGGTATAGTCATGAGTCTGAGCAGTGTAGATGTTGTTGCGTCGAGGGGTATAGTCATGAGGCTGAGCAGGGTAGATGTTGTTGCGTCGAGGGGTATAGTCATGAGTCTGAGCAGGGAAGATGTTGTTGCGCCCAGGGGAATAGTCATGAGTCTGAGCTCGGTAGATGTTGTTGCATCGAGGGGTATAATCATGAGTCTGAGCAGGGTAGATGTTGTTGCGGCCAGGGGGATAGTCATGAGTCTGAGCAGGGTAGAGGTTGTTGCGTCGAGGGGTATAGTCATGAGTCTGAGCAGTGTAGATGTTGTTGCGTCGAGGGGTATAGTCATGAGGCTGAGCAGGGTAGATGTTGTTGCGTCGAGGGGGATAGTCATGAGTCTGAGCAGGGTAGAGGTTGTTGCGTCGAGGGGTATAGTCATGAGTCTGAGCTCGGTAGATGTTGTTGCATCGAGGGGTATAATCATGAGTCTGAGCAGGGTAGATGTTGTTGCGTCGAGGGGCATAGTCATGAGTCTGAGCAGGGTAGATGTTGTTGCGCCTAGGGGTATAGTCATGGGTTAGAGCAGGGTAGATGTTGTTGTGTCGAGGGGTATAGTCATGAGTCTGAGCAGGGTAGATGTTGTTGCCTCAAGTGGTGTAGCCAAATGTCTGAGCAAGGACAAGTGTCTGACAAGTGTTTGAGGTGGTGTCACAGTAAGATCTGTAAAGGATAATGTTACTGTAACTTGGCCTCTTGTTTAACCCCTGGTGTGGTAATCTATATCCTGTAGAGTGGATGTTACACTTGAATCTTTCTTATAAGGTATGTTTTAATTACACCCTAGAAGACATGTTCCTTGACTTTGGATTAAAAATTGAACTTGAATCTTTCTAATGAAGTATTTTTTCTTCACAGCCTAGAAGACCTTTTCTTCAACTATGGAGTGGACCTGGTACTCCAAGCCCATGAACACTCATACGAACGCCTTTGGCCTCAGTACAAGGGGGTGGTACTGGCTAAGAACTACTCCAATCCCCAGGCTCCCATCCAACTCATCACTGGTGCCGCAGGCTCCAGGCATGGTGTTGACGAGGAGAACAAGACATTCTGTATGTATATTTCTCCCCACTAGCCTGTCAACAAGGCATTCTGTATGTATATCTCTCGCCACTAGCCTGTCAACAAGGCATTCTGTATGTAAATCTCTCGCCACTAGCCTGTCAACAAGGCATTCTGAATGTAAATCTCTCGCCACTAGCCTGTCAACAAGACATTCTGTATGTATATTTCTCGCCACTAGTCTGTCAATAAGGCATTCTGTGTGTATATCTCTCGCCACTAGTCTGTCAATAAGGCATTCTGTATGTAAATCTCTCGCCACTAGCCTGTCAACAAGACATTCTGTATGTATATATCTTTCGCCACTAGCCTGTCAACAAGACATTCTGTATGTATATCTCTTGCCACTAGCCTGTCAGCAAGGCATTCTGTATGTATATCTCTCGCCAGTAGCCTGTCAACAAGGCACTCTGATCAATATATCAAGCAATATTTAACATTACCTTCCCAGTCATTCAAAAAAAAACATAAAGTCAATGAAAGTCAACGGTTGTATCAAGTAACATCCATCTTGCTTATTTGGAGGTACAGGAAATGATGTACAAATGTATGACATCACAATGACTCCTTGAATCTATAACGTCATAATAGCACGGCGTCAGAAACACAAAACGTCAATGCAATGTTACGAGCCATGTTACTCCCGTCAGAAATTCCTCTGGATATTACACCTATATGGAAATTTGGTGTTAAGTTAAATATTTTAAATAATATGTTTAATTTATCACAATCAAGACATATAGATCTACATATTTTCATCACTGTTCAGTGAGGTAAGGAAACATTCGGATAGTGAAAAAAAGTGGTCTCCACTTTTTTTCCAAATTTCATGATCCATTCATTAACCTGTCGACGTGATTGAAATTTTAAAAAGACAATAGTTTGTACATGATCTTGTACATTATTCCTGTCATTTAATCTTGTTTCTTTTTTACATGATTAACAGCGGAATGGTCAGCCTTCAGGATGGACATCAAAGCTTTTAACAGTTTCGGCCGCCTGAAGGTGTACAATGCCACCCACCTTTACTGGGAGCAGGTGTTGGTGAAAGACAGTAAGGTGTTGGACTCAATCTGGGTCACGCAGGACTTGCATGGTCCCTTCCACAAGGCCCAGCTGGACACAGATAAGGCCAAAAAGATTGAGGACAAAGAGAAGGATAATTCTGTTATAAACACAGATTCTAAGACTAACACAGCCTCTCATGAGGAGGCAAACTCGCCACATAGTGGGCCAGATGTGAGTTCAGGGGACACAAACTCTCCAGACACCAGCATATCAGACCGTGCACGCAGCATGCTGGAGTCGACCAATGTGCGTCTGGCCCTCGGGATTGGAGGAGGTATTCTTGTGTTGGTCGTTATTATCACCATAGTGATTCTACAGAAACAGAAGAAAAAGGCCAGGAAGTACAGGCGTTGGGACGAGACTGTGGACTACGGACGAAAGTTTTACTCCTCAGGGTACTCACATGTCCAGGGTGGGGAGAAGGACACTGACGAGTTTGAAACTGAGGTCAATGACCCCAGTGCTCCAACATCCAAACTCCTGACAGAATGAGAGATCTAGCTGTCTAAACAATCTCATCTCTTCCTAAATCCAACATATGATCACATGACAATCCAGTGATGGATTGTTTGTTAGGATTTTCTTATCCTTGTTAGATGTGATATGTCCATGTGGTTTGCTATGAAATCCAGTGCAATATTATGTGCCTACATTCCATCCATAGTTGTTCACCATATCATGGACATGTTTGTGTGGTTACAGTCTCCTTGGTTACAGTCGCCTTGGTTAGTCTCCTTGGTCACAGTCTCCTTGGTTACAACCATTCCCATTCCAGATTGTACATGCCAGTGATATTTGTCAAAGTGCCTTAAAGAGTTTATGGAATTTTATCTAAAATTTCCCTTTTTGCCATACATACATTTAATTTGTATACAGAAATATTATCATATTATGTAACCTTAAGCCACTCTTTTGTGGATATGATATGTCAGAGACATGTTATTTTACAGAGGATCGTAACTCATTCCATGCTTATAGGCCTATTACAACTAGAAACGGGAACTGTTTCTAGCTGTGGAGTTGTGGACGGCATCAGATGGGTGTGTTATAATCATACATATTAATTATAAGGTGTGATGATACTTGTTGTCAGCGTTACAACATGTGAATAAGTCAATAAGTTATGTAAATTAGGGTTAACCTGATTGTACACCAGACCAGATTATATACTGTATGAATTATGAATGCCATAAATAAAACTGTATGTTAATTTAAGATTGATGTCAATACATCAAATAACCACTAAAAACACTCATCAACCCTTTCATCCCTGTGTAACTTGAGAAGAGTTCTTCCATGCATTGATCCGGAGGAGTCCATTATTGTTTACAGCTGTGAAAGGGTTAATGAGTGAGAACATGAAATGTACCAATTATTTTACAGAAATTTAAGTGGGATTACTATGGAGAAAAACATTTTAATAAATATACACCTTAAAAACCAAATGTACTAGCATTTCAGTTCAATAGTGTCAATTTCAGAGGCTTTTGAACTTTATCTGGTAATCTACATAAAATTGATATAAAGCTTGTTGTTGGTCAACCATTTCATGACAGTTTTATCTGTTATAAGAAAATGAAATAATATGTGCACATGGGATTAAGGAATGGTAGTACGTGTTGTATGGTTGGAGAATTATATGTGATCAATGTTATAATGTATAAATATATATCACAATGAGTTGAATAACTGTAGTACCATATTTTACCAATGATACACCCAGGATGCATGTTCATAAATAGTGGGGTGTGATTTTGGAACAGGGTGGTAGTCTGGGTTATACCATTTGATATGCTCGGTTATAATTTGGGAGTCTAGTCCTTGTTGTTATCAACATCATTGACGACAAGGCTGATGTGACCTAGCCACCACATCATGTTATCCTAGACCAAGGGGACAGCATGTGACTGTTTTAAACTTCACCAGTGCATGCTCTACATGTTTGTCCTATTAAATCGGTCGTACAAATGAGCTCAGTTGAGGTAAATGTTTCAAAGACGACAAATGTAGGGATTTGTGACCCACAGTTACACCAAATTGTTACATTAATCAAGTGTTTAGTTGAATGTTCCATCAGTTCAAAGATCACATCCTTTCATCACAACCAAATTGGCACCGACAAACGTGTAACGATACTTCAAAGAGATGGATTGGGATATACCAAGTAATCATCAGACATGGGCTTATCACCGGTAAAACAATCTTCGCTAGCCAAGGGTTACGATCTGGTACGATCCGGTCTTCCTACTCTTCACAGAGTAGGTAGATCGTACCGGATCGTAAATCCTGGCTAGGGAAGATGCGGTTAAATATGAAAGGAGGAGTAATGTAAGGTAATACATATATATATATATATATATATATTGTCATTTTCTATGGTGATCTTACCATATGTAACATTTGATATGTTTCTATATATAGCACTCTACCAGTATGTCACATTTTGTCTGTTTCTTTGGCACTCTATCAGTATATAATGTTTTGTCCAGTATACTTTTGTCCTCTGACAATATGTAACAATTTGTCTGTTTCTCAGTGACAAAGCTACAGCTAGGTAGCATTTTGTCCGTTTCTGTGGCGATCTTACTGTGTGTAACGTTTTGGTCTATATTATTAATACTGTATAATTTTTTAGACAAGATATAATCATATTAAGATGCATAATATGTCCGTGTTTTTAACTTAAGCTTATTCCCTTTAACAACAAATATCATGGTACCCTGTGTAAGATTAGGCATGGACAATGTGCCACCAGGAAATGTGTTTGTACAGTCCTATTAATTTCTGATTTGTGACTTTCCAGTCTGTGTATCTATATAATTATCAATGTAAAAAAACTTCAGTTTTAATAGGGACTGAAGTTCTAATGTTTTTTCTCCTGAATGTAGTAAGGGTGGTACCAAATATTGTTGTTTTGGGATAAGAAATCTGACTTTATACTTTGTAACATTCCAATAACATAACAAATATGGGGAATGTGGAAGGGTGGGGCGCTAGACAGTATCATAATTGTAGTAAATATTAATAGTTAATTATTTGATCGTCTTAAAATAGTGATGTGAGTGTGCAGTTGAAATATAGCCAAAACATTCATTATAGTTTATCGATCTTAAGTCATTGCATCAGTTTGTAATCATTTTAGTTAAAACATTCATAGCCCAACCATTTTGACACTACTTGCCTTAACTTTAGTTGTTATTTTACAGCAAACTGGCACAATATCTGTTTAGAAATGTATTTCATTAATACCAAATAGTAATATATTGCATTATTCTCCAATGTACTTATTGAGTTCCAGACAAAGTGTGCTGTATTGTTCCAATTATACCCATGCTACACAACAGCGACAAACTGTGGTACGTCCAGTTATGATAGGTGTACCGAGGATACTGACCAGACCCAATTTTCAATCCAAAGATGTGCCTTGTCCATCAGTCCAACCTGTTTGTCCAGGCCATAGCTTCCGACTCTCTGAAGATTTCTTTATGAAACATAAATGATATATGAAGGATGGCAAGGCAGTGTACTGTGTCACATTCACTTTTGGTTCCATCAGCTAAAGGTCAAGGTCACAAGTTTTAAGGTTAAACTCATTATCCATGCCATAAATTCTGACTCTCTGAAGATATCTCAATGAAATGAAAAGGATGTTATTAGGATGGCAAGGCGGTGTGTCCTTTACCTCAAGTGGGACTGTACACCAAAGCTCAAAGTTACATTGAGGCTATAGGTCAAATTCATTGTCTTTGCCATACGCATGTAATTCCTAACTCGCTGAATGTAACTCAATGACATTTTAGGAATAGATGATTATGTAGAATGGCAAGGCAGTGTGTGTCATATACCACTATTGGATCTGTATACCTAAGGTCAAGTTCACTTTAAAGTCAAAGTCTAAATTCATTGTCCTGTCCATAACTTATGATTAGTTAAAAATGGTGCAATAAATGTAGGATGGCAAGGGTGTGCATACAAACTACAATTGGGACCTTTTAAGGAGCATAATTTATCAGTTTTAATGATATTCCTGTTAATATTGCAATTGCCAGGTGGTCTCTTCCCGCATGAAAAATTTGAAAAGTCGACAAATACATTGTATGTAGGTTTAAGGATTAACTGTAAATGTTGAATGATATATAGTAGTAAAACATGGTCAGCATATTGAAAGATTAGATTTAAATATATTTACAAGTTATTTTCGCCAAAGTTCAGTTGTTAGACTACATTCACATGCATTCCCTTTTTGTCTTGTATTTTGTTAAAATGTCTTTAATATTGTTCATTGAATTATTCAATGATGAATCAAACAATTACTATAAGCTGTTATATTTTCAACTTCATGTCTTTTAAAACAATTTTCTCCAGTGTAAAATTTGTACTCGTATGCTTAAAGTACTGTTAAATATATACATAGCTGATTTTGTTATATACTATAGTGGTAAAGAATTTTTATCTTGCCATTTGATCGTGACAGTTTCTAAGGTCCCTATTAAAATCAGCATAAACTGTGTTTGTAGTGTCAACGAATCAGGAATAAATCTGCATATAATTGATACTGTATTATTTTGATTTGCTCAAGGAATTAGTTTCGTGTTATAACATGTGTACTCAAGAGTACTTTCATTATGTTTTCATTTGTTTTGCATTGAAGTCATTTGGGTTCAGGTGTGTGAATGTTTGTCACTAAGTTTAAACCAATGTGAATTATTGATGATCATGCTGGAAACAAATGGCATTGTGTGTAAAAGTTGGTCGATTTGGATCAAGCGAGTTTACTATGTTTTTTTCGTGTGTTTTTTTGCTTTTGTACAAGTTCAACATAGAAGACATTAAATCATTTTCTGAAAGAATTGTTTGTGTTGTTTTGCTGTGAATGCCCACCATAAATGTTAGGTCTATAATCACATATTAAGATAAATAGTACCATCGAGTTGAATAAAATATATCATAATCACAGAAAATGCTATCCAACTCTTCAGATACTTAACATCTAGTTCCATTGCCCACACCTCCTCCTCCCCCTCCCTTCTCCGTCTCATTTGAGACCCCCCTAAACACATTTAGTTTATACCATACCCCACCCCCCTAAAAACATTTAGTTTATACCATACCCCACCCCCCTAAACACATTTAGTTAATACCATACCCCACCCCCCTAAACACATTTAGTTAATACCAT